GGGGGGGGAGTGATGGGGATGGGGTTCTGAATGGGGAATGTCTGGGGAGGGAGGGAGGAGAAAGCAGCGCGACCTCCGGCCCCGTCTCACCGGTAAATTTCTGGCTGATAATCTCGCTGTGGGCCGGCTCGGCGGCGCCCGCGCTCCGCAGGCCCAGCAGTAGGCTCCGGGCCTCCTCGCTCTCGCTGAAGGCCTGCAGCGAGTTGGCCTTGGCGATGAGATCGGGCTCCCCGCCCGCCCCTTCATCCTGTTCCACATCGGCCACTTCGGGCCGACCCTCGCTGAAAGCCATCAGCCGCCAAATTGCACCCGACCGCCGGCCGCTGCCCTGGCAACCACCTCGTGTCTGTGACCTCTGACCCTCAAGTACGGCGATCACTCTGGGACAGAAACTGAGAGCGCGTTTCCGAAATAGCTCTATCAGAGACAGCAAGAACTGCAGATGCTTGAGTCAGAAATAACACAGTGTAGAGCTGCAGGAACACAGCAGGTCAGGCAGTGTCAGAGGAGCAGGATAACTGACGTTTCGGGTCTGGACCCTTCTTCAGAAAGTAAAAAAGATGATGGCTATAAGGCAATTATTGTAATTGGAATAAATTGTTGAGGAAAGTAACTGCAGAACATTTCAAAAATCATAATTTAATCAAGCATGGCTTTAAGAAAAGGAAATCATATCAGACTACTTGATTAGAACTGATTGAGCAAGTCTTAGAATAGATCAAGAGGAACCAGCAGATGTGTTGTATTTAGACTTCCAGAATGTGCTTAACAAGGTACCCCACAAAATGTTAAGTCGCAAGATAAGAGCCCACAGTGTTGGTAGCAGCATTTTGGCATGAACAGAGAAATGCCTGATGGGCAGGAAATGGAAAATGGTGGTAACAGGTACTTTATCGTATTGGTAACCTGTGTCCCGAGGTGTTCCACAGGGATCAGTGCTGGGACTGCAACTGTTTACAATGGATATTAGTGTGAGGTTGTTGACTTGCTCGCCGAGCTGGCTGCTCAGCGAGCAAGCCAACAACCCTATCCACAACCCGAGCTACAAATCTTCACAAGAACTTTAGATATTAGTGTCTGAGAGGAAGGAATTAAATGTATAATAGTCAATTTTGCAAATGACACAAAAAAATGGAAAGGCAGGCTGCAAGAGAGATACAAACAGTTTACAGAGTGATGTTAATAGATTTAACAAGTGCGCAGAAAGTTGCCAAATGGGTATAATGTGGAGAAGTGTGAAGTTGTTAATTTTGGACAGGAGACCAAAAAAACAGAGTATAATTTAAATTGAGAAAAACTGCAGATAGCTGCAACTACAAAGGAACTTGTGCGTACTGTGCATGAAACACAGAAAGCTAGCACACAGGTGCAGCAGGTAATCAGGAAGGCTAATGGAATATTGGCTCTTATTTCAAGAGGTTTGAAGTAGAAGAAGTAGGGAACATTTACTGCAATTGTACAAGGTGCTGGTGAGCCACATCTGGAGTACTTTGAACAGTTTTGGTCCCCTTTAAGGAAAGATACCTTTTCATTGGAGGCATTTCAGAAAAGGTTCACTAGGTTGGTCCCTGGAATGGAGGGATTGTCATGAGCAAAGGCTAATCAAGTTTGGACTCCACTGACTGGAGTTTAGAAGAATGAGAAGTGATCTAATTGAAATGTATAGAATTCTTAAGGGGCTTGACAGGATAAATACTGACACGATGTTTCCCCTCATGTGGGAGGTTAGGACCAAAGGGCATAGTCTCAGAATAAAGGGGTGCCAATTTAAAGACTGAGAAGAGGAGTAATTTCTTCTTCCAGATGATTGTAAGGCTTTGGAACTCCTTGCCATAGGGAGCTATGGGGACAGAGTCCTTGTGTATAAGATTGTGGAAAATAGTTTCTTGATCTGTTGGGGAGTCAAGGGTTATCGGGAAAGGACAGTATATTGATTGGAACCAGGTGGATGTTGTTGACTATGAGATCCTTGGTTAGGATCATTAATCTGGGCCAATCAGGAAGCCCTGGCTGACCAATATAAACAGGGGATTGAGAATCTCTTCAGTTCAGGGACTGACTTGAAGCTGGTTGGCTATAGCCAGTGTACTGTACACATGTAAATAAAGGGTGACTTGGTGATGGGATACTGGCCCCTGTGCAGTTATTCCAGGCAGGTAAGTGAATTGAGGAATATTGGATCAGTACGATCCTGTTGAATGGTGGAGCAGGCTTGAGGGGCTGAAAGGCCAATGGTGTTGTGAATATGCCTTTGTTGGTCATTAAGTCCTGAGGTGGGGCTCCAAACTGGAACTTCTGGGTCAAAGGAATGGATGATAGTTACTATGCCACAGAAAGACCTTCTGTTGGCTGGTGTAGAGGGGAATGAATGTAAAAGGAGTTGCCTGGTTGATAGAAAATATTGAATACTCCCTGAGAGAAACAATGGCAATTATTAAATAGCTACAGTACAAAAGTAGATCATTCTGCCCTCATCTCTATGCCAACTTTCTACAACAGGAACTCTGCTAGACCCATTACCCTCACATTTTCCCCATAGACCTGCAAATTTTCTCTCTCATGATAATTATCCAGTAGTTTTTAAAAGACTTTGAATCTACTGCCACCCCAGTCCCAGGCAGTGAATTTCAGAAGCTAACCACTGGCTGCATGGAAATGTTTTCCTTCAGGTTGCTGTTGCTTCCTTTGCCAATCACCTCTAGTGTGCTCCAATTCTTGATCTTCACATCAAATGCTCCCTATCTACTATCCAGGCCTGGCTGGGTTGGACATGTCCTTTTTGTGGATCAAACATTGTTGAGCAATGTTCCCCAAACCAGGGTAGATGCCTGAATTGTTACTGAATTTTCCCATTTCGTTTAAAGCATGGTGATGGGTGAGTTTCATGGCATCAGGTCTGCCATGGCCTGAGACAAAATTATCATGTGATCTTACACTTCAATTATGCAGCCAAAATGTTGGATATGTGTCTTGGGGAATCATGTGGTGAATGAGCAGAAGTGCTCACCACTGACAGGACCTTCTGGCATGCACACTTTTGTTGCCACATTTCAAGTTCAGCTGCACAGTATTCAGATGCTGCAAGCCAGGAGCTACTTCTCAAACTGCAGCACCCAACACTTTTTTTTTATGCTGAGTACACTATTCAACATGCTGTTCCACTCGTCTCCATCCTCATGGTGTTGAAAACGAGTCCAAATTTCAGGATACCGGTACCTTTAACAACAGCTGGGCATAGTTAAACTCCTATATGCTGGTAGCGGTACAATGTGAGGTGGCTACTACGTTATAACATTTGTACAAGCCTCCAATGGTTTTATTTATAAAGGAAAACTTCACTAGTTGCGAAATGGCATGAGACTTTCTAAGATCATGAAAGCCATTACATAAATGCAACTTTTTTGAAAAATTATTCTTGTTGTAATCAATCAGTTAAAAATATATGAACATACAAATCAAGTGCAGTAATAGGCTATTCAGCCCTTGCAACCTGCTTTGCCATTTGTTAAGATAACGGCTAAATGGATTGTGGCCATCCACTCTTCCCTCCTGCCCACTTGTTAACCCCTCAGATTGATTTGTGATTGACAAGAGAGTCAAAGTCAGTTTTAAAGATATTTGACGATCCTGCCTCCATCATATTCTGTGAAAGTGAGTTCCACAAACCAGACACCTTTTGAGAGGAAAAAAATACCTTCAGCTCCACCTTAAATGGGAGAACCGTTATTTTTATACTGTCGCCTAGTTCCAGTCCGTTCCACAAGGGAAAACATTCCCTCAGCGTCCACCCAGCAAATTCCCCTCAGGATCTCAAGAGGACCAGTTTTTCTAAACTCCAATTGGTAAAGATCACCTTTCCTCAGAAACAACCCCTTCATCCCGTGAATCAGCTTAATGTACCTTCTCTGAACTGCTCCTAATGCATTTGTGTTCTCTCATGTAAGGAAAGCAGTAGTCTCAAACTGCTCTCAGCAATGCCCTATAAAATTGCAATAAAACTTACCAGTTTTTATATTCCATTCCTCCGGCAATAAACAACAACATTCCACTTGCCTTCCTAATCACTTGTCGTATCTGCATTCTAACCTTTTGCGATTCATGTACTCGGATCACTGTTTACAGATAAATTTTGCAATCTTTTGCTATTTAAATAACATACTGTTTTTTCTATTCTTGCGAACAGATTAATATTTGTTAATTTATTAAAATCCTTAACGGAAGTAACAAGTATCGAGGTTAAAAGCATCTGAAGCTGGAGGTATGTCAATTTCGAAGATATTTGAAAGGTGCCATGTCAAAGGTTAAACTATGAAGATGCTGTCACTGTAAGAGGTTATTTTGTCCTTTTTTTCAGAAGAGAGGTTGTAAGGCAGAGGTACAGAACTGGCTACTGAAGACCTCATAAGTAAATAGCTTGGGAGGCCTTGGACTTTTTAAACAGCCTGAATGGGTATGGCCCGCTGTCATAGATCCAGATTTCTGGGTTTTGGTTTTTCAGTCCCATCATAAGATATTGGGGTATCAAGAGTTGAAAGCTTCAGTGACTGTCTCTTGGCTGCTACTCTCTCTGAATCTTCTCTGATGTGTTTTCCTCCTGGTTTGGAGAACTGCTTGTGAGATTCTGTCTGAATTTTCCTTTTTGCCAAGGGGTGTGTTTATGGAATGTTACTATATTGGAACTGTTGACTAGTAATAGTTACTGTATCTATTATTCGGTTAAGTTTCCAATATGTTAAGTTGTTCTAAATTCCTCTTTCTTTGGTTGTATTTTAACTCCAGTGTTTAAATGGTGTTTTGCTTAACATCAAGTAGTTGGACCAGTTGTATTGCATCTGAAACACTTATATTTTCCTTTTAAAATAAGAAAGTTAAGGGTCTAGTCTACCTTCTTAAAATATTTTTGTAAGGGTCTGATCTGGTCTATAACACAAAGTAAAAACTCATGATGTAGGGGGTGACAAATGAATTCACATTTCCACTTTATACTCTCAATGCCAGTGTTTTGACCACTCATATAGCCTATCTCAATTTCTTCATAAACTCACTATGACCACTTCACAACGTTTTTCCTACCTTTACTTGTGTCATCAGTAAACTTAGCAATGATATATTCAATCCCCTTGTCTGTGTCATTTATACAGATTTTAAATAGTTGAGGCCCCAGCACTGATCCCTGTGCAATCCACTGGTTTATCTTTGCCAACACAAAAATGACCCATCTATCCTGACTCTTTACTTCCTGTTATTTAACCAATCCTCTATCCATGAGTTATTTCAAACACAAGGCTGAGACACACTATCCTCTTCTTCCAACTTGTTGGAGCCAGGGATTTAAAATATAATTTATTTTGCATTGCGCTAAAAGAAAATGAACAGAAGCAGAATGATAACTCACCTCTCTACTGTTAATTACTGAAAGTTAAAAGAAGTCGATTTAATCTCTTCAGCCTGTTCAATGAGATAACGACTGAACTGTTACATTACTCTATATGCAAGTCTTTACCACAGATCTGTTAATGTCTTTGATAACAAAAATACTTAGAGAACTGTATTCTGTGTTTCAGATCCTAAATTCAAAAAGACATGATCACATTGAAAGTTGGCAAGGATGAAGGAAAATGTTCACATTTCTTTTTGCTCATCTAAATCAAAATTGATCAGGAAAAATGTCAAGGGCCATCAAATTCTGGAAGTTGGCTATAATGCAGAAGTAAGTGGTTTGATTTAATTCACGCAAATGTGTAGAATAGATTCCCAAACAATCAGTAAGACTTGCATCATAAACATCAGTGTGAATGAAGGCTAAAAATAGTGTCAGCATAGGTAACCTAATAGAATTATCACGAAATGATCAAGCCCATTACAATTTGTGATGGATTAGTAACTTAACAAAATGTACAGTGGTGATAAAACCAATAACTGCAGATGGTGGAAATCTAAAACAAAAGCAGAGATTGCTGGAGAAACTCAGCAGGTCTGAGCATCTACGGAAATACAGTTAACTTGTCGAGGGTCATCGGACTCGAAACATTGACTCTGGTTGTCTCTTCACAAATGCTGCCAGACCTGCTGGGTTTCGCCAGCATTTACTGTTTTTGTATCATTGTGATGATGTATTATGATGTAATGACATGCCAATGTCACATAATTATTAAACAGTATAAGTGGGGAGCAGAAGCTCTACTGGAGTGTTACAAATGTGTGTATTTACAATGCTGTAAGTAAAGAGTAGTTTTGGAAAGTACCTTGGACTCAAGAAGTGGTATTGATGAGATTATTTGCAGTTACGCTACACACATTTGATAAAACAAATGTATCCTTGTTGCTAGACACTGAAGATCCCCATAGCTAATGCCAATGTTGAATGGAGTTTACACTTTTTCCAATGTTATCTTTGTGGACAGTTTTCTTTGAGATCACCTGCATGTGCTGTCACTTAATGCTGACTGCAAAATCTCAGCCATTAAATATTTTATGGTTGTCCTATTCATTTTATTATATTATCTTTAACCCCAGATTCAAATATTGTCATATTATCTCCCCGCAGACATGGGGAGAATGTGCAAACTCCACACAGATAGTCGCCCGACTCCCTGGCGCTGTGAGGCAGCAGTGCTAACCACTGAGCCACTGTGCCACCCTTATAACATTATTTGAAAATGAATTTAAAAACATTAAACTGCATGAACATTAGTATATAATATCATGAAATGTTTAACTGTTTCCAGACATCAGTCTACAACGCGATAATTCAATATTTCTATCTGCTATATCGGGTCTCTTGCTTTCTGTGAAGCATTTTGTATACAGCTCATTTTTCAACCTTCAAATATTCCTCTCAAACCTTCAAATCTTTTCTCCTTCTGTCATTTTTGCTCGCTAAGATTTTATAAATATTTGTTAATCCACACTGGAATAAAATCCCTGGAATCAATTTTTTTAAAAAAGCCACTAGGCAATGATGTGGCTACAAGGATGCAAGGTATTATTGTCAACACTCTGGAGGACGCTTAAATTTCCGTATGACTCAACTTCTACTTTACCCATTCATTTGAGAGATGCTTCCACAGTAATTTCCATTGTTGGATGAAGTGGAAGGAAACAAGTATGAGTCAGTATATATGTAATAAATGCAATTTCCCTGTTACATCTTAAATAGACATTCATATGGAAAATATGTGATCAAACCAGGAAGAGATGACACGGTGATCCAAGTTCCATGAATCAGATGGAATACTTCGGTTTGAATGAGAAATTGTGGATTGCAAGCAACCAAAAGAGCATTAGGCATATAATTTCCTGGACTAAGTCTGAAAAGTAAGTGCCGTTGTAAAATCCAATATCAAAAAGCAAAAGGTTAACTGTCATCAAAAGGAAAAGAAGTAGACCATTGGGCCAATCAAGCATGTTGAGTGTGAACGTGGATCACTGGGTTTCAAATCCAATTTTCCACTTGCTCCTCTTGATTCCCTGAGTTGATAAAAATTTGTTGATAACAGCCTCAAATATCATCAATGATGAAGCTTAACTTCAGGAGTAGAAAGTTCCAAAGATACCCAACGCGCTGTGAAGAAATTTCTCCCCATCAGTGTTGAAAGAACAGTCTCAGGCTAAGGGATTGATCAATCTTCTAGGTTCCCCAACTAGCAGAAACAACAGCAGAAAAATCAATCCCCTTAAGATCAACTAACAACGAAAGGAATTATTTCACTATTATACAGGGATAGAACAGATGTATTTATATTTATTTCTTCAAATGAAAACTCTGAATATAACGTGGCTCATTGTGTGATCATCAATGAATATGAAAAAGGTTGAATGGATGAAGGTCTGGCTGGTTGTGGGTGCAGCACCCCACTCAAGAATATTGTACTCTGGTTCTCTCATTAGGTGTCACAAATTGCACGCGTCCAAGATACTCTATGATAATAACAGATCTCGGCAATATTCCTGATAATGCGGCAGGCCGGTTGCAAGTAATAAATTTCACCTACAATTAACTATTTAAACAGGTGCACAATAAAGTGGAACAAGTGGCTCTACTTTAGCAGGTATATTTATATTGTCAGGCAATCAGAAGAAATCAGACCATTTGGCCAAAGAATCAAAAGCCTTAGGATGCCATTGATCCATCCCTGACAAGCATGGCATTAGAATTTTCAGATGAAGGGTCTAGGCTCGAAATGTCAGCCTTCCTGCGCCTATGATGCTGCTTGGCCTGCTGTGTTCATCCAGCTCTACACCTTGTTATCTCAGATTCTCCAGCATCTGCCGTTCCTACTATCTCTGGCATTAGAAGTGTTGTCTCTCAAATTCCATAGATGGTTCAGAAGATGACATTCTTTGGGATGATAATGATGCTTCTGCAGTGAATAGCAAAAGTGAAAACAATGCCTGAGGTGATGCCTTACACAGTAAAAAGGATTGGTAACTTTAAATATAAATATTGTGATAACCAGTTTTCGTCTCTAAACACTTCAAAGTGTGTTTCTACAAATGTAAAAAAGTCTCAAGACGTAGTTCACAATTTTTAAAAGAATCATGTGTTTTCCACTGATGATAACTGGTGAAAACAGGATTAGCTCTCATCAGTGCCTCAGAATTCAATTGAAGCATGTTTCCAATGAGTACATTGTTATTTATAATACACATGGAAAAGATGTTATGGACCAGATAAAAAACAAATCCAGTTTAATTAGTAACCTTGATAATGTGCACTTTAACTTCTAGATATATCTTTGGAAACAAAATATGCATTATATTTGGAAAATTATGATCAGTTTTTTTGTGCTTAATTTGGTTTTGTTTCCATTTATAATGTTTGTCCATTAGCTTTTTAGCATTCATGTGTTTGAGATTATGTTGATTGAAAGGGCACCAAGATCTGACTGAAAAATATTTTTTTTGTTTTCTTTTCCCAACCACTACTCTATACAGGGGTTTTTAAGACTCCGTGACAACCGACCATTGCTCTTCAGCAAAGAAAAACTGGACAAATTACAGGTGATTGTCTCCCCAGTAATGTTTCAGGCTTATTGTAATGAAGCAAAAGTTTGACATTGTTTTTCTCAGATAATTTGAGACAGATTTGCTTGAGATTTTCTGCAGCTGGTTGGTACCAGTGAAGATTGAAGAGCAAGACATCATAAGAACTATCATACATTTACCAGCAGAAACTCTTGAAATATTTAGTCAAATTATGTTGCAACAGTACTTTTTTTTTAAAAAATGCTATTTATGGTTATTCTTTGTTTAAGTTTTTAAACAATCAAGATCCCTTACACAAAACTCTGTTCATGCATAATACAAATTATGTCAAAAGTCTGGCTTTGCAACTTGCCAAAGTAAGAATGTCTGTTTGGGGATTGTTTTCTTCTGTGCTGAAATGGCAATCACTATGCTATAAGCAACTCTTTTTCTAACAATTTTTTTGCCAACTAACTTTTAAAGTGTTGTGGTACAAAGTTGTACTGTCCTTTAAAATACATTTTTGTCGCATTCATTCAACCAAATCCAGTGAATTTAGTGGAAAGACAAAAGCTGAGGATTATTACAGATTTGAATGAACAAAAATGAGAGGGGAAAGTCAGAGCAAGAAACATGCCTATCATGTATCATATGTGCTCATGTCAGAAGCTTGCCTGTGACTAATTTACTGAGTGTTTCCATTTGTCTTTCAATGTTTTAAGGTTGTCATCAGTACCTATGGAACCATGTGCTAACCTATTACCTTTCATGGTTTATAATCACTTGAAAGAAATGCTCAAAGGTTTGGTTAATCTTTTTTGAATGATAGGAAGAAATATTTTAGAATGAAAACACAACCATCAAACATTGACTTTTTACGGATTTGGGGAAATAGAATATAGAAATTCTGCAATTGCATCATTCATCTGCTTGTACAAGAAAAATGTAGCATCAAATTGAAAAAAAAAGGGAAGATTTTCTCTATATCTAAGCGTCAGCCTTGAATCAATTATAACACTTGCTTTGAGACAAAAGATTCCGCATTTCTAGTCCCATTAAGGATCCTGACATACATACAGTAGCCTGATACTGCAGAGCAATGCTGTTGGAAACTACACCTATTAGGTAAGATAATAAATTGAGATCCTGTCTACCCTTCCAGTTGGATATAAAAGATTGCATTCCAGAGAACAGGGGAGGGAAGCAGTTGAGAAGGAGAATCATGAAAATTTCAATCAGTGCTGGAATTGAATCCATACTGTTGGCATCACTTTGCATCATAAACCAGCTGTCCATACAACTGAGCTATAAACTCAGCCTTTCCTGATGAATATGTTTGCTCAGTTCTATATCAGCTCAATCAGCTTTTTTTGTATCTTCTCTTGTGGTTCTATAATGTTTTTAACAGTAAAAACCAGAACAGTGTATAATAATATGTGAACTCTCATTCCTGATGGTTACAGAATGTTTGGCAAATACTGCCTCTAATGTAATTTATATAAACTTGTCAGGAACAAAAATAAATTTGGAAAAGCTCAGCAGGTCTGGCAGCATCTGTGAAGGAGAAAACAGTTAACATTTCAGGTCCGGTGACCCTTCCTCTGAACAGTTCTGAGGAAGGGTCACCGGACCCAAAACGTTAACTCTGTTTTCTCCTTCACAGATGCTGCCAGACCTGCTGAGCTTTTCCAGCAAATTTGTTTTTGTTCCTGATTTACAGCATCTGCAGTTCTTTTGGTTTTTATATAAACTTGTTATTGGCATCTTGCGATGGAAATTATTTCTGACTGTGCTTTCTAAACCACTATCTGAAACAGTACTGTGGCATGAACCTTGCCAGGAACAGAGAAGGGAAGATACTTTTAAAACAATGTTTTGTTTCGAGTTGAGTGTAATTTACTGTCATTCTAGATTAAAAATCAAGGAATTCCCTTTGATCAATTCAGTTAGAATCACGGTATTGTTAGCATTCAGAAAGAGGTCATTTCACCCATTGTGTATGCTCCATCTTTCCTTTCTCAATGAGAAAATTATTTATCACCTATTATCCCACCTTCTCTCAGTAACCTTGCACAGTTTCCTTTTTATAATAAAACTGAAGGGACTAAATCTTGCTGGAGCAGAGTATTTCATGATTCATGTTGTGAACTCACAAATGTTTTGCATTGTAATTTGTAAGGACTGAATGGAAGGATGAGAGCTTCAGTGAATGGTGGGACCTGCATTGTATCTCCTTCAAAGATGAAGCGAAAAATAAGAATTGTCTTTTCAAATTTTTAAAATCTTTACAAATGATTCACTACTTGAACGAATGGGATTCCATGTCTTCATTGGTTCATTTTCCAGGCCAAAATGGTTAACTGGAATTATATTTATCAATAAATGAGCTGTTAACAGGGTAGTTAACATTATTAATTCTTAGACTTCACTTTCTGTGAGTTTAATGGTCAATTATTGGTTAATTCGAGTGTGATCTTAAAAGTAACAGGAAGGCCAAATTGATATGTTTATCTTGCAAAGCAAATGGCAAAAACTGAAAGTTTGGGAGATTTGTAACTCAGTGTATCTTAAGTTTCTTGAATCTGATGGCTGATTATAATAATCATTAATAATGATGTTAACATACTGTTCTTTTCACCACAGAATCTTTTTATTTTACAGGATGCAATCTATTACCCATTTTTTGTTTTTAACTGTCATTTAATTCTGCTATCTAATGGGCTTTACAGTTAAGTTCTATGATTTAAAGCTTCAGTTCTCCCACCTTGATTTGTAAATATCGATGGTTCTACAGCAAATATGCAAATTAGATAGGTTCAGATATTTCCTCCATATTGTATCAAGTAACATTTGATAATTAGACAAAGTCAGAAGTTACAAGACACCAAGTTATAGTCCAACAGGTTTAATTCAAATCACGAGCTTTCGGAGCGCTGTTCCTTCATCAGGTCACTTCACCTGTTAAACCTGTTGGATTATAATCTGGTGCCATGTGACTTCTGACCTTGTCCACCCCAGTCCAACACCAGCACCTCCACATCGCCATTACAGTTACATAAGTGCCAGCTTGGTTCAGTTGATAACATAATTATCTGAGTCTGAAGGTTCTGAGTTCAGATTGGATCCCTAACGTGGATATGAGTACAACAAACCTTGTTGAAATATTAAGGTGTTGATGTAATGTCATAACACAAGCCTAACCTATTCAGGTCATTCTAAGATCTATGGAATTCTTTGAAGAAGAATGGGATCTTTTTCCTATGTTTAAACTAACAATTTTATTTCACTTGCCACTCTCCCTGATCTTTATTCCCCCTTACTTGAAGGTTTTAAATTATCGAGCTTTAATTGACCTTTCTATACTGTTCATAATGAAATAATGTAAAAGCAATATCGCAGAACCTATTTGTACCAAAATCAGTGTATATGATCAGAAGTCTAAAAGTATAGAAGTATAAAATATCTCTCATTTTTAATCTGATTTTAACTTGTGCATAAAAGAACGTTCACTTTACTGCTGACGTGTTTTTTCAGTCATCCAAAACCAGTTTTGAAATCCCGTCAGAGAAAGTAGGAGGTGAAGACAAAGTAGCAGTGCTCCAAAAGCTTGTGATTTCAAATAAACCTGTCGGACCATAACCTGGTATCATGTGACTTCTAAGCTAGTTATTTGTTATAGCAGGCCATCTAATGCCATTTGCAGTAAGTTAGTCCCATTCTTGCACATTCAAATATTTGAATATTTTGCATGACAAATTGTTCAAAGTACAAGCTGGTAACAGAACAGTGAAGCAGCATTTTCATTTGATTTTTTTTTACAGTGCCCCTTTAAGGGACTGGAACCCTTTTAATCTGGTTTAGTTTGATTTGATTTGGATTATTTTATATAAGTGATTTAATTTAATTTAACTGATTTTAAAAGAGCTAGCTGCGAGCTATCTGGGACCTGAGTGAATTAAGCAAAAACATTTGTACCCTTTTTTTCTGTTCATGGGATGTGAAGTGTGCTGGGAAAGCCAGAATGCATTGTACATTCCTATTTGCACTTGAGTAAATGGTAATGAGCTGCCAATGTCCTGTAGCATAGGTATGCCCACAGTGCTACTAAATAGGGTGTTGGAGGTTTTTGACCCAGTGACAGTGAAGGAATCACAATGTAATGCCAAGTCAGGATTGTGTGCAACTTGGAGGAAAACATGCTTGTGACCATGTTCCCATGTGCCTGGTGCCCTTGTCCTTGTCCTTGTCCTTCAAAATGGTAAAGATTGAGATCTTCAAAGGGCTGTTGGTGGAGGCTTGGCAAGTTGCTGTAGCAAATTATATACATTTATGCCACTGCATGTAGCTGATGGAGACAGTGAATGCCTAAAGTGGTAGATGGCTTGCCAATCAAACAGGCTGCTTTGTATTGGATGCTGATGGGTTTCTTGAGTATTTTTCAAGATGTATTCATCCAGGCAAGTGGAGAATATTCCATCCTACTTCTGACTTCTGTCTTGTAGGCTTTAAAAATGCTTCAGGGAGTTACTCACCCCAGAACACCCAGTTTCTGACATTGTAGCCACAGTAGTCACATGGCTGGAGCAGTTAAGTTTCTAGTCAATGTGACTCCCAAATTATTGATGGTGGGGAGGTTGTTGAACACCACAAGGAAGTGATTAGACCCTTTGTTGTTGAAAACATCATTCTTTGGCTATTGAGTGACACTGGTTACTTGTTCCTTAGCAGCCCAAGCCAGAATATTGGTCGTATCTTGTTGTCTGTGAGTACAAACTGCTTCATTGAGGAGTTGCAAAGGGAACTGAACATTGCCATCATCAATGAACCTTCCACTTCAGACCTTATGATGGAGAGATGACCATTAATGAGTAACTGAAAATAGTTGTGCCTAGATCACTGCCCTGAGGAAGTCTAGCAGCAATATCCTGATGTTGAAATGATTGGCCTCCAACCACAGACAAAACCTGATTGAATGAGAAGTGTTGGAGAGCATAACAGGAGCAGCATCAGGTGAATCTGCAATGATG